TTGTGAATCTACAATTTCACAATACTATACATATGATTATAATCTCCAAAATAAAAATCTTATTATTGTTGATAATACTAACCGATGAAACGTTATTCCATGATTTCGAGCTGCTGCTGTTATGCCACAAGCTCTACAGTATACCATTTTGATCGTTTATTTCCATACACTGTTGCATAAAAGACTATACACTGCATATTAATGCGTACGGCGTACGGTATGCCGCTTGCCGCTATGCTCGAGCATTCCCTCTCACTTTCAAAAAGTGGTCGCTCAAGATGGCTGCCATGACGTACATCCGTCCGCGGATTTACCTAGTCCTGGCTAGTATATGCTCCCTCCTGTTTCTTTTACTCAATGAAAACGACTGATTGGTACATGTGCTAGATCCATAATTGTGAATCTAAGGGGCTGAGCACAATGAAAAGCAACAGGCAATAGGAACAGGAAATAACATAGAAAAGAAAGAAGAAAAAGCTATTTCTCTCTCTTTCTTCCTATATTATTCCCTGTTCCTATTGCCTGTGCTTTTCATTGTGCTCAGCCCCTAACATAGGCATGCACATGCACCAATCAGCCGTTTTACCATAGCGAAAAGTGGATCTGACCATGTAGTTTCACTGGCTCTAAAAATGGATCCAGTTAGCGCTACTGTACGGCCTAGAGAAAACGTCGTATGAAAAACAACGGCATGGCCTCTTTCAGGCTTCTCTCCGGTTTCGTAAAGCACATATGCGTGCATGTATCTATAGTATACATAACGTATACCAGAGAGAAACCTGAGAGGGGCCACGCTGCCGTTTTTCGTACGACGCTTTTACTAGGCCGTACACTAGCGGCGCGTACATCCATTTTACAGCTTGCCTGGAACTACATGGCCACATCCATTTTCCGGAATGGTAAAAGAGCCCTGGTTGGTTCATGTCCGTGTTACATCCATTTTCCGGGATGGTAAAAGAGAGATGCGAACACGAGCTCCGTGCAACAGGCAACGTGAGGGGCAGGGCCCCCACCATACGAGTACCACACAAGCGAAAACGTCACGCGTCCGTGTGTGTTCGGCCGTTCGGTCGACACAGCGTATGATAAATGTTAAGAACCAAGTGTTTCTAATCGAGTAAGGCGAGTCGCGCTAGAATATTAAACATCACGCGTTCGAGACCTGCTTTTTGCAACTATTTTCCGCATTTCCGCTTTTCTTTCTAACTGTGCACAATCAAATAAATGATTTGATAATGTTTGTTTGCTAAAAAATATTATTTTATATTTATTAAAAATATTCGCATATGTTAAATTAATAACTCTGGAAAAAAATACTGAATACTCGCTATTGTCAATAGAAAAATAAAAATAATTTCACAATTTTGCAATAAAATGCAAGTTTGACATATACAAATATTATATATAAATATAAAATAATATTTTTTGGTCGAAAATATTATTTAATAATTTAATCGATTACTGTTAGAAACTAATGTGTAAAAACGGAAAAAAGTTGTAAGAAGCAATTTTCAAATACGATACCTTCAATATTCTAGCGACTCGCCTTACTTGGTATTTACCTCTATTAACTGAAAAAAGAAAGATTTATGAATAATTAATTAGTAATAACTAATAGTGGTCTTCCACGCTACCCATGAGGTGCCACTAATAGCGCGCTAGATTTTTTAAAAGTGGATCTTTGCCTGTAGCCCTATTATATCACATTTTATTATATTCTATACAAAAGAGAGATATATAAGATAGATACAAGGTGTAAGGATAAAAAAGTCTTATGAACGTGGCTCCGGAAATACTTCCTTTCCAAGTTATAAACGCTTTTTATTTAATAAAAATTCTGTTAACATAGAACGCATGTTAAAAATAATTCACAATATTGTATTAACAATTGAGGGCCCGGATCAAAGAACTCGCCCAGCGCTCGAAGTCCTGTAAAACAGAACTCGGCGTTAGTTGCACATTTCGGCTCGATTCTTGAGACGACGCCACCCGCTCTCCCACTACGGTGCGGCTGCTGGCGGCCGAGCCGCCGATAGCCTTGACTCAGGAGCGTCTGTGTAACAAATAGGCTGATGATGAGCAGGCACCTTTCAGAAAATAAAATTTTCTTTGTTATAGAAATAATATTTATTTTCACTAATTATAATTAAATATTTTTATTACATTCATTATAATAATTTATCTAGATAATATATAATATTAAAAAAATAAAAATAATTAAAATAAATCTAATTATTAAAAAATTTAACTTTTTAATAAAAATTGTATGGTTTTTTAAATTAGAAATCAATAGTTTTCTACATTACCCCTAAGATACTATTGTGAATGCGTTTTTTAAAAAGTGGTTTCCCCAATAGGCCTATTTTACTAAAAAATAACAAAGATAATTTAATATTTATATAAATATGGCTTGGCAGAAAATTTTATATAGGGCTTAGATAATATTTTATATTTAAGATAACAAAAGAGAAACAAATAACAACATTAAATAAATTTAAAAAAATAGAAATAGTTTATTTATAAAATTTTTGTTGGATTTTTTTGGTCATTTGCATGATTTTATTAAAGACATCCACAGAAATAGAAGAACTAGTTCGCATTAAAAAAAATAATGATGCATTACTCACAAAACAACGTTTTTCCGTTTTTATTAATTTTATTTTACAGAAAGAGTATTTGCATAAATATGTACCGAAGGCGTTTATTATCAATATTCTAATTACTTTTATGGTAAATTAAATTTGGTAATTAAATTTTAAAATATGAGTACAAAAAGAAATGTAATTGAATGGTAATTTAAATTTTACAATATGAGCTTATTGGATCGTGCACGAAACCGTTTTGTACGTGCACGAAACCGTTCCGTATGGCACGTCCCGTTTCGTTCCATATCGACCCATAACCCCCAACACTCCAAATTATTTTCAAAAATTTACGAATTTTGAAAAACCGTCAGACGGGATCTCGATACCCTGCCAATAAAATCCTATAGTCCGATCTTCTATCTCGTATAGTTTCCGAGTTTTTGGCCCGATAACCAAAAAATCAGCGACGAAAAGGAGCTATTCCATAAATATTCGTTGTCCGCTATATGTTTATAGGACCAAAATTGCTTGTCTTAACGAGACTCATCGACGTAGGTACTCGGTTTCAAACGAGAAATGATGGCGACCCATAACCTTCAACACGCCAAATTTTTTCAAAAATTTACGAATTTTGAAAAACCGCTTGGAGGGATTGAAAGATCTCTCGATACCCTGATTACTTTTATGGTAAATTAATTTTAGTACTTTAATTCAATTACATTTCCTTTTGTCCTCATATTGTAAAATTTAAATTATTCAATTACATTTCTTTTTGTGCTTATATTTTAAAATTTAATTACCAAATTTAATTTACTATAAAAGTAATTCGAATATTGATAATAAACGCCTTCGGTACATATTTATGCAAATACTCTTTCTGTAAAATAAAATTAATAAAAACGGAAAAATGTTGTTTTGTGAGCAATGCATCATTATTTTTTTTTTATGCGAACTAGTTTTTCTATTTCTGTGGATGTCTTTAATAAAATCATGCAAATGACCAAAAAAATCCAACAAAAATTTTATAAATAAACTATTTCTATTTTTTAAAATTTATTTAATTTTGTTATTTGTTTCTCTTTTGTTATCTTAAATATAAAATATTATTTAAGCCCTATATAAAATTTTCTGCCAAACCATATTTATATAGATATTAAATTATCTTTGTTATTTTTAGGTTTTTAAAATAGGTCTATTGGGGAAACCACTTTTTAAAAAACACATTCACAATAGTATCTCAGGGGCAATGTGGAAAACTATTGATTTCTAATTAAACAACCATACAATTTTTATTAAAAAGTAAAATTTTTTAATAATTTGATTTATTTTAATTATTTTTATTTTTTTAATATTATATTAGGTGTACAACTTTGCTTCCATTGTTTTCCAATAGAATGGCTTTAGCGGTATGTGGTGGTGGAAATAAACAGATGTAGACGTCATACAATAAGCTTGGGCATTTGTCAACATAACCCCATCGAAACATTAGTCAATTTGTGTCCGCATCGTAAAGTTATTCTTGATTGAAAATGTCAGTTTACGAGCCAAATTCTCGTCATTTGCGGGAGGTTTTAATTTTCTGTTTCAATATGAAGAAATCTGCGGCTGAGGCTCATCGAATGCTCTGAAATACTTATGGCGAGACCGCTATTAGTGAAAGAACGTGTCGTGAGTGGTTTCAACGCTTCAAGAACGATGATTTTGACATCGAAGACCGGCATGGCGGTGGAAGAGAGAAGGTTTTTAAAGATGCAGAATTGGAGGCATTACTTCATGAAGACTCGTGTCAAACGCAAGAAGAATTGGCAGGATTATTGGGAGTGACTCAACAAGCCATTTCAAAACGCCTGAAAGCCGTGAGAATGATTCAGAAACAAAGAAATTGGGTGCCGTACGACTTGAAGCCGAGAGATGTTGAACGGCGTTTGTTTGCTTCTGAACAGCTGCTTGAAAGGCAAAGACGGAAGGGATTTCTGCATCGCATTGTGACTGGGGACGAAAAATGGGTTCATTACGATAACACCAAGCGCAGAAAATCATGGGGACTTCCCGGCTATACTTCCACGTCGACGGCCAAACCAAATATTCACAGTTCAAAGGTTATGCTCTGTATTTGGTGTGACCAGCTCGGTGTAATGTATTATGAGCTGCTAAAACTGTCTGAAACAATCACAGCCGATCTGTATCAAAAGCAATTAATGCGTTTAAGCCGAGCATTGAAAGACAAACGGCCGCAATACAACGAGAGACGCGATAAAGTGATTTTGCAGCATGACAATGCTCGACCCCATGTCGCAAAGTCGGTCAAAACATACTTGGAAACGTTGAAATGGGAAGTCCTACCCCATCCGCCGTATTCTCCAGACATTGCTCCCTCTGACTATCACTTGTTTTGATCAATGGCAAACGGCCTGGCTGACCAGCATTTACGTTCTTATGAAGAAGTCAAAAATTGGATCGATACGTGGATCGCCTCAAAAGATGAGCAGTTTTTTCGACGCGGGATTCGTACGCTGCCCGAAAGATAGGAGAAAGTAGTGGCCAACGATGAACAATATTTTGAATCGTAAATGTATAACCAGTTTTTTACAATAAAGCCTCAAATGTCGAAAAAAAAACTGCGGAAGCAAAGTTGTACACCTAATATATTATCTGGATAAATTATTATAATGAATGTAATAAAGATATTTAATTATAATTAGTGAAAATAAATATTATTTCTATAACAAAGAAAATTTTATTTTTTGAAAAGTACCCGCTCATCATCAGCCTATTTGTTACACAGACGCTCCTGAGTCAAGGCTATCGGCGGCTCGGCCGCCAGCGGCCGCGCGGTAGTGGGAGAGCGGGTGGCGTCGTCTCAAGAATCGAGCCGAAATGTGCAACTAACGCCGAGCTCTGTTTTACAGGATTTCGAGCGCTGGGCGAGTTCTTTGATCCGGGCCCTCAATTGTTAATACAATATTGTGAATTATTTTTAACATGCGTTCTACATGTTAACAGAATTTTTATTAAATAAAAAGCGTTTATAACTTGGAAAGGAAGTATTTCCGGAGCCACGTTCATAAGACTTTTTTTCATCCTTACACCTTGTATCTATCTTATATATCTCTCTTTTGTATAGAATATAATAAAATGTGATATAATAGGGCTACAGGCAAAGATCCACTTTTAAAAAATCTAGCGCGCTATTAGTGGCACCTCATGGGTAGCGTGGAAGACCACTATTAGTTATTACTAATTAATTATTCATAAATCTTTCTTTTTTCAGTTAATAGAGGTAAATACCAAGTAAGGCGAGTCGCTAGAATATTGAAGGTATCGTATTTGAAAATTGCTTCTTACAACTTTTTTTCCGTTTTTACACATTAGTTTCTAACAGTAATCGATTAAATTATTAAATAATATTTTCGACCAAAAAATATTATTTTATATTTATATATAATATTTGTATATGTCAAACTTGCATTTTATTGCAAAATTGTGAAATTATTTTTATTTTTCTATTGACAATAGCGAGTATTCAGTATTTTTTTCCAGAGTTATTAATTTAACATATGCGAATATTTTTAATAAATATAAAATAATATTTTTTAGCAAACAAACATTATCAAATCATTTATTTGATTGTGCACAGTTAGAAAGAAAAGCGGAAATGCGGAAAATAGTTGCAAAAAGCAGGTCTCGAACGCGTGATGTTTAATATTCTAGCGCGACTCGCCTACTCGATAGAACACTTGGTTCTTAACATTTATCATACGCTGTGTCGACCGAACGGCCGAACACACACGGACGCGTGACGTTTTCGCTTGTGTGGTACTCGTATGGTGGGGGCCCTGCCCCTCACGTTGCCTGTTGCACGGAGCTCGTGTTCGCATCTCTCTTTTACCATCCCGGAAAAATGGATGTAACACGGACATGAACCAACCAGGGCTCTCTTACCATTCCGGAAAATGGATGTGGCCATGTAGTTCCAGGCAAGCTGTAAAATGGATGTACGCGCCGCTAGTGTACGGCCTAGTAAAGCGTCGTACGAAAACGGCAGCGTGGCCCCTCTCAGGTTTCTC